AGAAACCAATTAAGAGCTGGGTGTGGTGACATGTGCCTGTAGTTCCAGCCACTGAGCGGCCTAAAGGAGTTCAAGGCCAGCCAGAAGAACTTGGAGATTTTGTCTTCAATTTTTAGAAAAGATATTGAGGGGCTGGGGGTGCAGCTCAGTGCTCCCTGGGTTCAATCCCCAATACTGGAAGGAAGGAAGGAGACAGGAAGGAAGGAGACAGGAAGGAAGTGGAGGGAAGAAGGAAAGAAGTAAGGAAAAAAGAAAAGAGAGAGAGAGAAAACAAGGCTGGTGCACTTCTCCAAGAAATCTAGGTTCTCTGACCACCCTCTTGGTCTTAAGGGCCAGAGGGGACTCCATAACTCAAGAGAGTAAAGCTGTAAATTGTAACCAAGATCTGACTCAGGAGTTGTGACATTCAGCAAAAGCATAAAACCAATTGTGATATCCAGGCATGGACTGCAAACCACTGCTCTTATGAAAAATGCAGGTCCCAGTGTTTCTAATCCTGGGGGCATTAAAGAATTAGAGGTGGAATTTAAAGTAAAAGAAGATGATTTATTTGAAGATGGGAAATGAGGAAGAGAGACATGACAGTCAGCTACTGGGAGTAAACAGGGAGAATTCAAAAGTGAATTGCTCTCAGGCCCTGGCCACCAGCTCCTCCTATAAGGCTTCTTCTGTAGCCTCTGTAGGCTCCCAGAATCTGATTGGCTCCCAGGCCTGCCTTCACCCTAACCTTGGATTTCTTCTGGCCCTGCCACCTTTCCCTGTCTATTGGTGGAGGGTAAGATTACAGGCAAGGTCCTTAAGGACAGGTTAATTAGGGTTCAAGATTAAGTAAAGGGAAAATGTGATTCTTATGTTAATCATGCTACCCAGGACCTTCCCTGTCCCAGTTATTTCACCTTTGTCCTCCTAATTATCCATTCCAGCTGCCTTTGCCTTTCTCTGGATGCAGAGGTCAAATTTTTAATAAAGAGACCTTTGTCCTACCATTTGCCAACCTACAGGGGCCCTACACAATCATTGGCAGCCCAGAAAAAAAATGAACCTGAGGTAATAGCCAAAGCAACCCTGAACAAAAAAAGGCAATGGGGGAGACATCACAATTCCAGATTTCAAGTTATTCCATGAGCCAGGCAAAGTGGTGCTCACATATAACTCCAGCACTCGGGGAGACTGAGGCAGGAGGACTTCAGGATCAAGCCCAGCCTGGGCATTTTACTGACTATGCAAGACCTTGTATCAAAATAAAAAATAAAGAGTGCCAAGGAGCAGAGCTGCCCCCAGCACAGAGGAGGTAAACCTTCCAGACCTCCAAACCACCACCCCCAGCACCAAGGAGGTGAGCCGCATGGGTACCAGCACCACACATCCCTTCCCCCTTCCCCTTTAAAAATGACAAGACACTTAAACAAGTCTCAAAACCAAACTCCCAATCACCTAACACAACCCCAAAGGGAAACAAGATGGAACAATCTGATACTCAACCATCTGGACTCCCTGAACTAGAAACAAAAGAGGATCTGGAAAAAAATGAAATCAGAAATAATTTCTCAGATAACAGCAGAGATTGTGCCCATAGTGCAAGACATGATTAATAAGTCCAGAGAGGACACAGATAAAAAAAAATAGAGGAGCCAAGGAACATGATGGAATCCCAACATAGGAAACAAATGGAATCCATAAAACA